TGGCCTATTGAACAACACCTCCGAAGCTGATCCAATTTGTTTAATGTATAAGTCTGATAAACACACAAACTTGAGACACACTCCTGACAGCTGTTAGGGAAAGGCTTTCTATCTTCTTTATCAACTTGAGTTTTCATTTCTATTTCTACAACAACAACCTAACAACATCAAAAAGCACAACTAAAATCATGTTTTTGTAAAAGAACATTCTAGTCAATTGTTTTGCAACCAAATAGGAATAATTCCCATTTCATGGGAATAAATGTGGGTTATTTTACTGTGAATGATCACATTTTGAATGACATACATTTACTGACATGATCACTAGAATTCTTATTGGTATCACAGCAGCAACGCTAATTATTAGCTAGCCACCTTAGCTGGCTAATATCTAATCTAAGCTCTGTTATTAACTGGCACCAAGTGGCCTAGAATACCCTTCAGTTTCCTTATCTGTAAAGTAGAAATTGGGCCACTGACTTAGCTCTTGAAAAGCACTTGTAATCATCCTGACTCTCAGAGGGCAAACGACCACCTGGGGCCATCTGAGACTCTTTGGGGGATGCATTTACTCTTTGGGGCCATTAGGAGAACCATTTAGTACTGTAGCAATGATTTACTAATGCTGCCCCAGTGGCCCCAAAGAGTTAATGCACTTTCCATATACCTCCTGTCTCGTCAGTGTAAATCAACTCATCTACCAGATGGTGCTTTTGACAAATCAATTCACTTGACATAGGTGGGCATTTTACTCCCAGAGAATACTTGCCTTTTCTTTGCTCATAAAAAAATACAGGGGTCAAACCCCAATAGGCATCTCTATAGCACTCTTCATAACAGGGTAGTTTGGGGTTATTTATGAACTATGGAGCTGTTAACTGCTGTAAGAGTGTTCTCACTGTAGTCCCAGATCTTTAGAAGAACAGTGCTGAATGGTGGTGCTGGAGTTACTTGAAGAAGACTTGATTTTAACATTTCATCATTAACAATAGATATCAGGTGCACATCAATCTATTTCCTGTCCTTCTTTCATCTAGACACAGAGAAGGACTTTAGAAAAAGTGAAATCAACTAATCTAAATCCCTTTTCTCTTTTTTTTTTTTGGGGGGGGGAGGTTGTTGAAATTAACCCCAGGATCTTTTACATGCTAGGCAAGCACTCTACCACTGATCTATACTCCTAGCTCTAGATCTCTTCTTATTTGCTTATCTCCTCAAACAGCATTTTGAGCAAATATTCTTTCTCTCTCCTCAATTATCAACCTGTTTTTGGTGTTTGCGTCTTGCTCTTTTCTTCCAATCCATGTGAAGAGCTCTAATTTTAAATAAATCAGACCTTCCCTTGACTTTGCAGCACTCTTGGTCTCTCTCCCTTTTTGTTCTTTCCTAGTTGTATCTGTGAAAGAGAAGTCCATGCTTACTGTCTGCTTCATCACTCATTCACTCCATAACTCACTGTAGCTTTCTTTGAATGTGGTTACTATTAATAAGAGTGAAGGTCCTCAGGGTTTTTAAGAAAACTACAAAATGGTTGAGATCTAAAGAAAAATGAATGGGCTTAATTACACACACACACACACACACACACACACACACACACCCTAGAAAAAATTAGTAATAGTTTCAAAGGGAAATATTTAATACCTTAAATCTTTTATGAAACAATTTAATGTGGAATTTGTTGCATTTCAATGTTTGCTATAATATGGGGTAGGATCTCCAGAAACAAGCAATTTCAAGATCTAGGAGAGTTTTAGATGGCCCTGATCAGAGCTCTACTAATTGCTATATCCAGTGGATCATTTCCAGTCCTTATTAAAAAACAAAGACACATTTGACAATACTGACCATGTCCTCCTTCTTCTTCCTTTCTCCTCCCTATCCTCTCTTGTTCCTATGACATCACTGTCTCCTATTTTTAACAAGTTGCTTTGACCTCTCTTGCTTACTCAGTATTCTCTGGGTTCCTCTTCTACCCCCCCACCCCCCGAGTTCCATCCTGGTTGTTTTCTCACATTATACATTTCTTTTGCGATCTCATCCATGCCCAGGTTCCATGTTCATTCATATTATGAGCTCCGTAGCCATCTCTTCTGATCCTCAACTTCAACTGTTCTCATCTTTGCTCCTGAAACACTGCTGTTCAACTCATGTTCTTATACGAGTAAATGATACGTTCTTCATTCAGTGGCTCAATCCAGAAATCTGGGAGACATCTTCTAACTTTCTTTCCATTTTACAGTCAATCAATCAATAATTCTTGTTATTCAATTTCTATAGTCTCTTGAATTCATCCATGTCTCTTCATCTTATAAAAACAAGACTCTGATTTTATCATTCCCAAACTTAATACCTTAGTTGGTTCCTACTGACTTTAGGCCACAGCCCCAAATTTTACAATGATGCAAAAGACTCTCCATGACCTGACCTCTGCCTCCTCTCCAACCTCAATTTCACCCACTCTTCTACTAGATGGACCTTCCTGGAATCTACAAGTCTTATTGGTTGCCTACCATTTCACTCTGGTCCTCCTCATCTTCTGTATTTCTTCATGACACTTTCAATTACTTTTCTCCAATAATAATAATGCCTAACACTTTTTGAATATTTCTTATGTATTGCTTCAGTGAGAACTGTAGAGTTCAGATGGGCAGGAGCCAAATCATATATCCTCAGAGCCTATCACAGGACTGACACATGGAATTGCTGAAATAATTATTAAAAATACCTAGGTTAGTATACATGGTATTCTATAATCTTTCTTTCTTATTTTTTTTGTTTTGTGGTGGTGGTGGGGTACCAGGGATTGAACCCAAAGGCACTTAACTACTGGGCCACAGCCCCATCCCTTTTTATTTTTTGAGACAGGGCCTCCCTAAGTTGCTGAGGCTGGCTTTGAACTTGCAATCCTCCTGCCTCAGCTTCCTGATTTGCTGGGATTATAGGTATGTGCCACCACACCCGGCAGGTACTCCATAATCTTAACTTGACCCACCTCCCTAGTCTCTTCTCCCAGTATGTCCAACCCTTCTTTCCCAAATCCTATCTTCCATACATATAAAGTGTTCTCTAAACAGCTCAAAGTGGTTCATACCTCTGCCTTTTGTGCATTCACTCACTCACTTGCTCATCCATTCATTCACCCACTTATTCATAGATTTACTGGATACTTACTAAATTCCAGGCAGAGAGAAAAGTTCTTATTAGATGTATGCCAATTCAAGATAGCAGAGAAACAGCTTAATAAGACTACGGGTATCTTTACATGAGGACCTCCTGCATAACACTGTGAGATCCTCTGGCCTCTTTGTGTGTATCTGTTTCAGCACAGGGGGTTCCTGGCACACAGGAGGTACCCATTAAAAAGCCAATGAATAAACACATAAAATAATGGTACTTTCACGAAAATACTCCTTTTCAATTCATTATATAATTCTGTACACTCACCTGAAACCACAGAATTTGGGTTCCTGTTTGCAGAACAGATATACTTTCCTTAACATGCAAATAAGAGATTAGGGGACATCTAGCATTATTGTATCATTTTATTTTAGACATGGATACATGAATTATGTAAAAATACTTATGTTAACTTATACATGTACACATATGCTCTTATACTTTTGCCAGTTTGGTGAATACAACTTGAGAAAACAAGAATTCCCGTCACCAGACACATTCTCTTGCAGGCTTTGGATACTTTTGAGAAAGCTACATGACACAATGTAGGTATCTTCTGAAAGACAAAATCATCCTAAAGATTTTCTCATCATTGAAAAATGAATTTTTTCATTATTAGAAACAAGCCTCAAATATTCAGCTACTAATAATGTGCTTTGTACATTTCGGAGTAACATTAAAACACACTTCTGTCTCACTGCTTTTGGGGAGAGGGTTGTCATTTAGAGGGGCTCCTTGAAAATTGCAATGAGATGCAAGCTTACACCAATGCTCCCTTCTCAAATAATACAGGAAGGGCAGCTCTGACTGTCTTGGGGGAATAAAGCTCATACAGGCATTGGTGAGGATGATGCCTGGCCTTCTGCCTCCTGTTTCTGTTTGAATGCTTGAACCAGAGCTACAGCTTTCTTTCTCAGGATACGTTTCTCACCTGAAAAGTGAGTAGGTTGGACTAGAGGAGGGGTCAGTAGAATTTTCTGATAAAGGGCAAGATAGTAAATGTTTTTAGCTTTGGACCACATGGTCTGTGTTGCAACCATTTCACTATCATATAGTGTAAAAGTAGCCACACAATAGGCAAACAGATGGGCATGGCTATTTCCCAATTAACATGGGCATGCCTATTTTCCAATAAAATTGTATCTATAAAAACAAGGAATGGACCAGATTTCTCCAGTGTTTCCTACATACAGACTCTTGGACTAGAAAAATTCCAAGGTCCCTCTTAGCTTTTCTCCACTGAGGTAGTCAGTTTCATTTGATTGTGTGAGAGCTCACAATTGGGGGACAGCTGGAAAAGAAAAGAGGAACACACTTTAAAGAATTATTGGCTGGATGAGATTACTATATTTGACTTATCTTTTCACTTGGAATCTTTTAACTTTGTAGCATAATGCTCCTATTATATTTAGCAATTAGAGTGCCATCACAAAGTAAAATGTAAAACCATTATTCCTTGAAAAGAGAAAAGGCTTGTGGTATGAAATAATGCAGGCAAGGAGTGTGGGTGATAATTTACTCATATAATCATTTCTATTTCAGTCGTATGGCAAGTATTTCTGGAGATGGCTCACATAGCAAAGGGATCTTTAAGATGTGCATGCCATAATTAACCTTTTTATATACTCTGATAGAATATCAATAGCTTTCTCTTCTTTAGCAGTTTTAACTTATGGTCTATGAAAATAATCTGAATATAAGAAAAGGTGTCTTTATACTTTGGGTTTAAAACAAATATGCATATTCATTCTGTTATTTTTATTGTATGGCTAAGTTCTAGACATTAAATATAAGTATGCCTTTTATTCTCCCTCATACAGGAGATTAGTCAGCCAGCTAGTGCTTCTGTAGTATATGGGTCAGTGATTCGTGAAGCCTGAACCAGCAGCATTGGAATCAACAGCAGCAGCATCTGGGAACTTGCTAGAAATTCATATCCTCCAGCCCCAAAACAGGACCCACTGAAGGAGAAATGCAGGGGGAAAGGGTTGGGCCCAGCAGTCTGTTTTAAAAAGCCATCTAGGTGACTATGATGCCTAATCAAATTGGAGAACCACTTGTTTGGATTATTCTTTTCTAGAAACAAAAAGAGAAGAACTGACCTTATGCAAAGAACAGAGTAATCCTAGAATATGCACATTCCTCAGCTACATTACAAGAAGAAAAAGGGCTAAGCAAGAAAAGCAATAGGGAGGACAAAGGAAAGAACCGTGTGGAGAAGGAGAAACTGGAAAACCCCAGAAGTTCCATTTCAAGCTACAGCTCAGCTATAGCTTGACCTCCAGTCAAGACATGCCTATGACAACTCTCCCTGACTGATAAGTGAGGGAGATAACTCTTCCAGGTGACATGGACACAGAAATGAAGATGATTGTTACAAGACAGACAAGTAGTGATAACCACCTATCAATCAGCAGGGGTCTCCTGACCAATCCTGGAAGGGCACAGTTCTCAGCAAGATCCCCAGACCAGCCCTAGGAGGACAGGGGACTCTAAAAACCTCCCTTTCCTGTCCCAAGCCCTCCCTTCCAGCCCTAAACCCAATAAAATTCCAAATCCAGCTGAGCCTGGGCTCGATTCCCTCCACCCGCTCTGTTAGAACGGGTCTCACCCAGGAGTGAATCTCAATAAAGCCTTGTTCAGCAGCTTATCTGCCTCCTTTTGGTCCCTGGTGCTTGACCTTATAATGATCCTTTCCACAACTGCAAAGAGTTCACAGTCTTGGAATGAAAAAAGACAAGATATGGTACCTTGAGAATTTAAAACAAAGTCAAAAGAGGAGAAGTTGGATGTCAGGAGAAAGAACAAAGAAAAAGGAGAAGAAAATAAGAGGATAAAGAGAGTAAGTATTAAATTTTTAAAAATATACTATAATGTTTAGGAATCTGTTCTTTTAATCCCTGTAATTACTCAATGGCAAGCTCTGCTTTGATTTGGAGATATAAAATCTGACAGTTCTTTAGTTCCCTTTGCTACACTGGACAGAACTCCTGGAGAACTACAACCAAAAGCTTTTTCTTCCCTTATGACACAGGTGTAAAAGAGCAAAAACAACACAGAGACATAAATCATTCAGCTATGTATGGGTCAGTGTGATAGACGAAGGTTTGTGATCCTTCCTCCTTTCATATATTGAAATCCTAACCCCCAATGTGATGGGATTCAGAGAAGGGACCTTTGGGACGTAATTAGGTCATGATGGTAGGGCCTTTGTGAGTGGGATCAGTCTTCTTTCTAAAGAGAGCCCAGTAAGCTCCCTAGGCCTTCCTACCATTTGAGGACACAGAGAAGATGGTTATCTATGGATCAGGAAGGGGTTCTCACCAGAGACCTTGAATCTGGTGAGAGAAATCTGCTGGTCTTGGACCAGCAATCAGAACTAGGATAAATAAATTTCTAATGTTTATAAACCACCTACTTTTGACATTCAATTATAGCAGCCTGAATGAACCAGGACAGTCAGAAACACCTTATTCTTACACAAATACTAGATGGTCATTTTTCTAGTCCAATGGCATAGTGTTATCCTTGGAGCTTCATCATAAAATCATCTTTGGGTCTATAAGGAGAATCACAAGTGAGACCATGCTACTAAAAACTAACATCAAATCAAACACCAGAGTGATATTGGAATTTGGATGATTTTAAAAAGTCACCTTGTCAAAGTGCCACAGTAGTTTTTAAAAAATGACTTCACTGGTTCATTTTTAAACATTTCCATTCTTAAAAACAAACAAACAAAAAATGAAACTCAGGCAATACAGAACTGCCGCAGGCTGGCTGGGCACAAAATAACCGAGCTGCCACAAGGCACTTGTAGGTTCAAACAGGAACTCCTTTATTGCCCGAACTCTACTGGCACTCCATGCGCACTCTCTGGGAACTCTGTCCACCCTCCACTGGCTCCTGGAGAACTCAACAACTCAACAGGAACTCCGGGAGAACTCAAAAGTAGCGGGTGCCCCAGGCAGCAGGAGCCGCCCTATTGCCGGACAGCAGGGGTCTATATACAACTGAATACACAGGCTGTTTCAATCCAGCATCATCCAGTCACAGCATTATACACTGCTTAACTTAATTATCATCATCTTAATGGCTCGCTTCTCACCTCTCAACCACTCCTCTGGCAAAATGCTAGGCGACATCCCAACTCAGCTGTGGCTCTCAACACAGAACAATACAAAGAAAGAAGTAAATAATTCCCAAAGGAAAGATCACAAACATGTGGTGAACAGAATGTATAAATACAAACAAATGATAATTAGAAATGGTTCTAAAAGGAGGGATTGTATAGTATGTGCTATTTTTTAAAACATAGTTTTATTTTGGAAATAATTTTAGGTTCACAGAAATGTTGCAAAGATAATATAATGTGTTTTTGGTATGTCCCTCGCTTAGCTTCCTCTATTGTTAACATCTTATATTACATATGTAATATTATTTTGTATTATTACGTATGATATCAAGAATATTTATAATTAGAGAGAGAGAGAGACATATGGGGAGGAGAGAGAAATTTATTATAAGGAACTGGCTCACAGGGTTAAAAAGGCTAAGAAACCGCAAGACCTGTAGGGGGATAGCTGGAGACCCAGGGAAGCTGAACTACATTTTCAGTTTGACAGCTGATGAAGGCCAAAAAAAAAAAAAGTAAGTTCCAGTTCAGATTCAGGCAGGAGGAATTCCCCCTTACTCAGTTTTTTCCCCCACTACTTATATCTTCATTGACTGGGTGAGCCATCCATATTAGGAAAGGCAATTTGCTGTACTTAAGTCTCTCCATTAAAATAGAAACTTCATCAAGGAATGCCCTCGCTGGGCTGGGGTTATGGCTCAGTGGTACAGCGTTTGCCTAGCATGTGTGAGGCGCACTGGGTTTATTTCTCAGCACTGCATATAAAAAAATGAGTAAAATAAAATGCCCATCAACAACTAGACATATATTAAAAAAAGAAGTGCCCTTCACTGACACACCCAGGATAATGTTTGATCAAATGTCACCCTGTGACCTAGTCAAGTTGTCACATAAAATGAATCTTCACAGATATACGTGATATTTTTAGTTCATTAGTTTAATATAATATCCAACTTGCCAGATCATTTTGTAAGTGACACCCTTCATTTCAAATGCTCAGAGCAAGCAGACAGCTCTTTGGATGTTCCCACACTTCTATCCCTATCAGTTCAGCTAGATTCTTTTCACAAGTCAGCTGTACTTGAACCTCAACTTTCTTCAATTATATAACCTAGTTTTCCAATTGTGTAACTTAATACATGTTATGAAAACTGATCAAATGCAAATGCAAAAAGAAGCAAGTTTTGTGTCCATAAAAACTACATTGGATGTTTTAGACAGGATAAACGTAGAGTAGTTCAATATTTTTCAAATAGGTGTAAATATGACAATGATAAAATATTGGGAGGGGAGGGGACTAGGATTCTGAACTCAAATTTTTTCCCAAGTGTCTTTCAGTTCTTGTTTCATTTTTTAAAAAACTGAAAATTGAAATCCTAGAGAGAGTGTTATTGTTGTAGTTCATGCAAAAAATTTGGTTATGGGTTAACCAGGGGGAATTCCAATCAGGTGACCCCTCTCAAAGAAAGGATACTGACCTCAAAATAAAAGACTGGAAAATGGCAAAAATGGCAGATGAATATATATATATATATATATATATATATATATATATATATATGTATAATATAAATATTATATAATGATATATTAAAATAAAATATTTCATTTAAATGTTTATATTATAATCAAATCCAATATGTTATATAAAATATGTATTTTATATACTATATAATACTTTATTAATATAAATATACATATTAATATAACATATTAAAATAATTTAATTATATTAACATTTATATATTGAATGTTATTTATTATATTAAAATATGCAGTAGAGAAGATGTAAAGTTCTAGAGATGGAAAGTGGTGATGGTTGCACAACAGTGTACATGTCATTTATGTCACAGAACTGGATGCTTAAAATTGTTAAAATGCTAAATATTGTTGTGTATATGTACCCCAATAAAAAATGTACAAAGTATGTTATTTTTCAGCTTACCCATTTCAACAAATAATGTTACTAATACAAATGGTTGCATTGGGTAAAAAGGATTTTTTATGTAGTAAATTTATTTTCATGTAATAGAAGAGAAAGATGCCAACATGAAACCAAATAAATTTCAAGTAAATGATTCCCTTTTGAGATTATAAATCAAGGGATTTTGACTCTCTAACATTGCTCTAAATTTAAGATAAAAGATATGACAAACTTTTAAAGGTTAAAGCAGTGGTTCTCAATCCAAGGGAGGGCCAATTGCCAAGTCAGCTGTGCTTGCAAAATGTATGGGTATTTTTGGTCATCAAGGTAAAAAGAGCCTAGCATTCTCCTGAGATAACAAACATCTTACGACACACATGACAGATCCAACATCAAAAACGTCTACAGCCAGTGTCAACAGCTCCCTGAGGGATAAACATTAGGGAAGATACGATATATTTTTTTCTAATAAAATCCAACCTGGAATCAAACCCTTATTAGAATAAAAATACATATACAGTAGCCAATTTAAAAATTTTTTCACTTTTTTAGTATATTTGCTGCCAGAGCATACAACCTATTTTTAAAATTATGTTTCCTGCATGTGCAAAACTTTGATTTGATCCCCAACAGGACCAAAAAAAATTATTATGTTCCAGTTTTGCACAATATGTCTGCTGGTTTACAAAATATTTGAGAAAAAAGGCACCATTTCACTTTCTTCCACCTCTCTCCCCTTTCAGCCCCATTTCTTTCTTTTATTTTGAAAAATGTTAAAATTTATTAAAAATAGTTACCATCACATAGTTAATTCAACTACTTCTCTATTGGACATAGTGACAACATCTCTCCACAAGACTGCATGCTCAAGGATTTGAGATGATCCATATTTAGTGCACCCCAGTCAAAGACTGAGATCCACTGTATTTACACCAAGCAAAGCAGCATCCTGGAAGGGCCAACCTCTCATTGCTTGTTAGTTATGTTGTTCTTTATAATGTCTCGGTTTTTAACAGTTACATCTTGTTGTGACAACATAATTCAAATACTGTTTACTCCTCACATTCTATTTTTTTTATTAGATCTTTATGGTTATACATAGTAGATGGGTTCATCCCAACAAACTCATACATGCATAGAAATCGATTTCAGTACAAAATCACCTATTTTCTCTCCCATTTCCCTTCCTTCCTCCCTTTTCCCTCTTTCCTCTACTCTTCTAGACTTCCTTTTGCTCATCTATTAATTTGCTTTTGTTTGATTCTTTATGTAATCTGATCCTCCCTTCCCCCTTTCCTTATTTCACTGTAGCTTCTGTATATCAGGGAAAATCTTCAACCTTTGAGTTTCTGAGTTTGGCTAATTTCACTTAGCATGATAGTCTCTATTTCCATCCATTTGCCAGCAAATGCCTTAATTTCATTCTTTTCAATGTCTGAGTAGAACTTCATTGTATATAGATATAACACAATTTCTTAATCCATTCATCTATTGACAGGCATCTGGGTTGCTTCCATAATTTAGCTATTGTGAATTGTACTGCTATAAACATTGATGTGGTTGTGTCACTGTAATATGCCAATTTTAGA